CATAATAATATATAAGAAATTGCTATGTTATTGTAGCATATATATATATATATATATATATATATATATATATATATAAGAGTTTTTAATAGAATATATATGCTACTTTGCCCTCGTTTTCTTGTCTTTCCAAACAGGGTCACTTTCCTCAAAAGATTTTTTATTTTTGTTTTTTGTTTAGTATTTTATGTTTCAAAAAGTACAATGCATGTGTAAATTTAATGGATATTATTATAAGATATTTGAGCTAAAATAAGAACCAACGGATAAATCATTGTATTTATATTGCAAAACAAAAAAATAAATAAAAATTGATGACGCTTAAACTTTAGATTTTCTTTTAATTTCCTTTCTTCCAGAGTACAAACTTTAGATTTCTTTTACCTAAAGAAAAGAGTTGTGGAATTACTTTTGTTTTTATACTGCAAAATTGCCTCACTTTTATACACTCACTCTATTTGTTTTTCATGAAAATATATATGAAAAAAAATAAAAAATAAAAAATAATCTCATACTCCTTAATTATTTCAATTGGTGGTAGTATATTGTGTCATTTTCTAGATCAGAAAAATTATTTAAAAAGTAAAAGTACAAAGTGAATAAAATATTGAAATATTTATTTCAAAAAGAATGAGGGCGGGCTTTGACATAATAGTAAGATTGCTCAATTTAAAGATGGTATACTAGCAACCATTTAGTCATTAAATTGGTTTGGTGGATCAATGCATCGAACAAATTGTGAAACACTGATAAGTAAGCATTTCATTGCATCCTTCACGTTATGAAATTTCTTATTATTATTACTACTATTATTTTTGTCGTATCACATAATTACTTTGTCTTTATAGAGATTGAGGAGAAGAAATGACAACCAGTTAGATTTGGGCTGTTTGTTACCCTCATTTTTTCAGAAATAAATTTATTTTTTCTTTCTAAAACATAAAAAGTTACAAACCCACATTTTTGCTCAAAACCATTGTGTAGAGAACTCGATCCCCGCCTCCTCATTTAAGTTCGTGTTTACATTCTCCCAGACTTCCCAGTTCTACCTTCTTTAAAATCTCACTTCATTAAAATTTAAGCCTTCGTAGTATTTTGTTTATAAGATTATATGGCAAACCAAACTTATTATTTATAAGCAAATGAATATATACACACACACTTTTTAAGTAAATGGACGATAGTACACCTTGTACAAGTCCTCCTCTCAAAAGGGGAGGTTGGGTGTTTGAGCATTCATGAGGCATGAGTGTTTGTTTGCTTAATCACTCATATATATATATATATAAAAGCAAGTGAAAATTAATATTTCATTATCTTAGAATTAGAGTTTAGGTTTCTTTTAAGTATGTTTAATAAAATGTAAAGGGAGCCGCCTTTACTTTTCCTCTGTTCTTTCTCTACCCTTTCTCTCTCTCAGCCGCTTATTCCCATTCTATTTTGCTCCTTACTCCCTTTCATGGGGGTGGGGAGGTGCCCTTGCTTGTCTCCAATAGGTTAATAATTTCGGCGTGTCTCAATAAGTTCACCATGTGGGTGGTTTTTACGTCGTTTTTTTTTATTTTTGTGTGGCTAGATCTGCTTTTCTTTAGTTTGTTTCCGGCTTGACATGGTGAATCTGTTGTTTTTCCCTTTGGCTAGATCTTTAATCTAGGTCGATTTCTGTTTTTCTCGGCTTGATTTGATCTTGTGCGGGGTTGGGTGTGTGGAGGCGTCTTGTGGATGCAGCTTTGGAGCTATTGCCTTGATGATGGCCTGACCTTTGTTCACTCCAGCTGTTACTCTTTTCTCTTGGTGGTTTCCGTTCTAGAGCGGTGGCTCTTTCTCAACAAATCCGGAGCCTGTTCTTTATTTTTTTTGTTTTTACTTCATAATTTGTATGCCTTTATGTGGCTTGGTTTATGCCTCTGTACTGCCACTTTGACTTAGCCTTTGTGCCTTTCAAATGATAAAAATAAATAAAATGTAAAGACCAGAGGGTAGAATTAGAGTTTAGGTTAGTAACCTTTCTTGCAAGTATTTTTAATAAAATGTAAAAGTCAAAGGCTGGTATCTCCCCAATGTAAATGTATTATAATAATTTTATTGCATTCTTTTTAATCATCAATCAGTGAAATCAATCTAATTTAATTCGATCTGTGTAGAATTCGTAGAACCGATCCAATCTAATTGATAAATAAAGAATTCGTAATTCACATATCGATTAACGAATTAGGGTTTAAAAAGATTGATTCAATTCGATAAAATCCGTTCAAATTTATAATATATATTTGGATTAAGTGCAAAAAAATCTCATATACTGTCGATATAGTGCAAAAAAATCCTTGTGGGGTATAAAACGCCATGTACTATCAATTTAGTGCAAATACCCCATGTTCATTAATACCCTCTTGTCAATAAAATAAAATAATATTAAAAAATTCAGGCAATGTAAAATAACCATTTTAAACAATTTCCAAACTCATCCACAGACGCAATCATCTCTTTGAGACTGGCCACCCGAACCAGAGAAGACCAATGCAACTTGCCTTCCCCATCAAACCCACCGCCGATTGATTGCTCCATCTTCTTTGCTTATCGTTCAAGCACATCATCACAAGTTTACAATCATGCCGGTCAGTCACACAGCTCACCGATTATTCCGACCTTGCTGACGTTATGTTCACACGTCGTCATCACTGTCGTGAGCTACTAATCATGAACTTGTCGTCATCAGACTGACCTGTAGTGGCGGTGGCCAGCGATTCATCGGAGTTGGAATTGAAAATGAGACGAGTCTGTAGCCGAGTCTGGTTTCGGCCTGCCATGGCCTCTTCGGGGGAATGGCTCCAGCTTCCTACTAGTTTGTGCAGGGTGGCCAACTCCCTTCTTCATAGTCAAGTTCACGCTAGTGACAAGCACCTCGAACTGAATCGAGTCGACCTGCTTGAACTCTGAAGAGGTACCATCTTGTGGTCCTGCGCGCCTCATCCTTAGAACCATTCCCAGTCAATGAATGTTCTTAACCAGCCAACTTCCGTGTCTTCTATGCTCATGGCGTCGTTAGGAATCATAACGTGACACTCTCCCACCTGAATACTGCGACGCCCTCGTCGCAGTACAACGTTAACTCCACTGCTTCCAACATTCCAAAGTCTCTCTCCTCCAAGTGGTATGCTCGCCTGCCCATCATCGCTTCCTTGTACAACCCCTGGCTGCACTCGCCTAATGATAGGGTTTTGGACTAAAGGGACGCCTACTTCTTCGGGACGCAACTCCACGTTATGCCGCCTCCGCGACACCCTGAGTAAACAAGGGCCCTCCGGCTGACTTGATACCCGCCCTTCACAATGGTTTGCATGTCTCTTGAACTTGCAAGAACTTTTTGTGCGTGTAGCCCTCCGGCCATCCGATGTGCGCGGCCCTCAGGCTTTCAAAGGACGCATCTTCCTGGGGAGATGGAGGCTCTCCTCCAACAGCATTGATCGCCCACCGACGTTTTAGTGCATCCACTTCATTCTCAAGACCCCCGAATCGACAAGGGGGCACACCTCTGTGCTTTGCCCCAAGTCCTGCTCTGATACCATTTGTCACGGCCCTAGAAATTTGGCGCAACAGCACTGGCCGTGCGGCACCAAGGCGTTGCTTCAGCTCACGCAAGCCCCCTGGTTAGCTACCACAACCTGCCTTCCCAAGGATACATGCTGACTGGTTTCGGCCTGCTATGGCCTCGTCAGGGGAACGACTCTAACTCCCGACCAGTTTGTGCAGGGATAGCCAGCTCCCTTCTTCATAGTCAAGTCCACGACTAGCGACAAACACCTCGAACTGAACTGAGTTGACCTGCCTGAACTCTGAAGAGGTACCATCTTGTGGTCCTGCACGCTCCTTCCCTGGAACCATTCCCAGTCAATGAATATTTTTAGCCAATCAGTATGTGTGTCTCTATGCTCATGGTGTCGTTAGAAATTACAACGTGACACTTAACTTTATATATTTCTATAAGTACATTATTTCTATTTTCTTTATTCTTTTGAGTTTTACGAACCTTTAATCCTAAGTGCCTATTTTACTCTTCATTTCACTTCACACACATAGTTATTTTATTTATAGGTTTTAGCAATACATATTTCACTACCTTTGTCTTTTAATTTTTTTATCTTATTTAGATTGCTTAAAGGTGTGACATTATTTAGATAATTTCACTACCTTTGCCTTCAGCCTCGTTATTGCTTGCTGCGGATCAACCATCTAATATTATTCCTCTCATAAATAGTTGAACAGTCTTATTATTCCTTACTATGGATCACATATTATTGTTTGCTCAGCGTTATTACTTGTTATGTTAATTAGGCCATTGAAAATTCATCTATTAAATCATAATTATAAAAAAATAATATTGAACTGTTTTGGAAAAAAAATTTAGTTCGTTGAATCAATTTGATTTAATTTATAAAAAAGTTTAATTGAATCCGATTTAATTCGTAAAGTATTGAACTAAATTGAATTTAATTTCTACCAATCTCTAAAGATTGATGTGAATTACATTTTTCATTTTATGGCTAATTCGACCCTATACTTCATTTGACATCTAATTAAAATTTTAGTCGGCACCACCTTAGTCCAAAACTATTTTAATAATCTCTATGTTACACGGATCATATTGAGTTAAAACGGGAGATGTTGGGTGCATTGATGAATGATTGTGATTGACACCATTAATTGTGCACTGTGCCTGTCTTGAACAAGAGGAGTTAGAGTAGGGTATGCTCTAATTATTAAATTAATTAAATGCAAAGTATCTTACTAATGATTTCAACGATACGCAATTGTCAAACCTCGTGGTCCCCACACTCCTTCACGCGTGCAAGATCCAACGGTCCCACTTCCATCCGCAATAAACGGAAAGCATTTCCGACACCTCGATCCAACGGTTCCAAATCACCGGGTTTGACTCGCTTGTGTCTACACCTCGGAACACATCCCCATAACTCATAGATTAATAAGTACCACCAAAACAACAACAGCTAGATCTCACTTCCCAAACCAAACCTTCTCTCTCTCTCTCTCTCTCTCTCTACACTTAACCTCTCTCTCTCTCTCTCTCTCTCTCTCTCTCTAGCTGCTGCCGTCTCTCTCCTTTGTAGAAAGAGCTTCGATCTTCAAGTCCGATCTTCTCAGAAACCCTAATTTCGGTACTTTATTGCTCTCTTAATGTTTGATGTTTAGTTCACTGTTTATTTCGTTTTCTTTTTCAGATTGCAACACATATGCTTTATTTTTGTTCGATTTCATATATATATATATATATATATATATATCTGTGATATATGTTTACATTTGTATGCAGTGGCTTACACAAAAGCTTCAATTTTTGGATAATATATTGATGATTTGCTTCACGATCGTCTTTTTCTATTCCAATTCGTTTCTTCTACATCTGATCTGTGCTTATGCCAGCAATTTGAGCTTTGATATATCATTGTATTATATTGCCGTCGATTATTCTCTATTTGTCGATATATATTTATGTATATATGTGTGCTGGTGCTCTGTGCTTCTGGGTGGATCTCCTCTGCCGATATGTCACAGTTCTATGAGAATCTGTTGTTTTTTATTTTATTTTATGATGGTGCTTAATGCAATCTTACTCTTTTTCTATTGTATTTGTGTTTTTTTTTTTAATTTTTTTTATTTGCTTCTTGTGAATGTTAATTTTTAATATGAATAAATCGGTTAGGTTTACCATTTTGGGATTTACTTCTTGATGTTGCAGAGAAGGTTCAAAGTTCATCATATATAGTAATTTGGACTGGAAGAGTATATCAGCATGCCTTGGACGTCATCTTCTATCAATTATAGTGGGAAGTGTGTTCGATTGGTGGTGTTCTTTCGTGTGATACTGTAATTTGTTCTTGTGAGATATTTCTCCCAGCTTTTGTTTTGTTGTATTTTAGTTCATATACCCAACTTCATATATTGCTGAATCATGTGGATAAATGTTAAAATTTAATAAAAGGGGGAACATTACTGGACTTCTAAATTATTTCAATGCTTTAACTTTTGGGAGAATTGAGTTCAAGTAACTTGAAATGAGAATATTTACAACGGAGGATCTCTAACATCGAAGGAAATATACTTTTATTTGTTAGGAATCCTCTGTATAATTATTTTTCTTCATATTTCTCAATCTTAATTTTTCCTTTGCTTTTATGCCTTGTTCCATTGCATAGACTCCATATACCTGGAAAATTTCAATTTTGGGAACATGAAAGCTAGGACTCTTATAAGAGTTGTTCTTTTTTTTTTTTTTTTTAAATATTTTTTTTGGACAGGTGGGTTTCGATTTCTGCCATTAGAGTTTCTTTCATTATATTATCTTTTAGTGACAGTTGTGTGTGATCCTCGTTATCGAGGTATTAGCACTCCAATTGGGGTGGGTATTCCCACAATACCTTCTAAAAAATAGCTTTGTAATTTATCTATTACTTTAATAATGCAGTAGATTTGCTAATGATGTTTTTGGGCTCAATCGTGTAGGTTAATCCCTTTGATTGTGAAGGCGTTCTGTTATTTAGCTTGTTTCCTATCTGATATTGGTTGGAGAAGTGAGAATGCTCATTGGTGTTACAATAAAAAGATATCGAGCAGTGAAGCAAGTTGGGACGATTAAATTTAAAATGAGTGTTGGGATCATTGCTTATTACCAACGGATGCAAATTTGTCAGGTAGGGTTGCTTAACTTTTCATGTATTATAATGAATAATTGCTGTAAATGGCTTGTTATAACCTGTTATGTCATAATTTTAGTTAACCTTGTACTGAGCTTACCTAGAACATTGGAGCTTAACTGCCTACCTGGTATCTTTTAAAAGTATTTTTTAAGTTTGATAAAATGAAAGTTCTTGACAAGAAAATTGTGATTGGTGGTATGTTTTTCAAAAAAAAAAGGAAAGATCTCCTAAACACTGGTCATTTTTAGGGAATTATATGAAATATTTTTTCTGCATTTTTCAGGAAAAGCATTGAATTAATCTTAAACTATTAACAACCCCAACGGCCCTATTTTCAATTCTCATAATTTTATTTTTGAAACCTTCATAATCTCTATATGTGTCAGTCGTGACGAGGTTATGTGGCTGCAATATTTTTATTCATTTATGGGCACAAGTTAGGAAGGATTTACTCAATTAAAAAAAAAAAAGAGACACTAATCAAAGTAGAAAGGAATGAATTGCAAGAAGGATTTATAATCGGCAGTAAACTTCCATGCTATATGTATATTTGTTTTTTTGATCTTTTTTTTTTTGTTGATGACATGTTCTAATTTCCAAACTTGTATAAATTGAGGCTTTTGTGCTATTTTCTATTGTCTAAAGCTCTGTTATCTCATGGTATAACATGCAACAACTATTAATTGATTTCTAATGGTTTCCCTGCATAAATATGTGTCTTTATCCTTGTTGCAATTATGAACCTGATTGCTTAAAATATTCTTGGTATTGCACACGTCATGTACTGATATGTTATAATTTCCAACCTTACATAAATCGAGACTCTAGTGCTATTTCCTATTGTCTATAGCTGTGTTATCTCGTGGTATAACATATAACAACTATTAATTGCTTTCTAATAGAACTCACGGATTATCATTTGCTTATCCTTGTTGCAATCATAATGAACCGATTGCTTCAAATTTTGTTGATACTGCATACATTTCATGTGGTCAAAAGAAAATTAAATTTGAATTTTTTATGAATGTTAAGTCTGACGTGAAGATCCTAGCTCGATGATAACACTGAGACATGCTTAGATTTATGTTTGTGGTGTCCCTTTTTCAATCTTTTAAGTCATTATAATTGAGAACATGGGTTTTAAAGTCATGGAGTTTCTTTATAGTGTGCATTATATTGCCTTTTATTTTTATTTATCACTTTCTAGATTTGATCTCATATCTTGAACCTTCTTTTTTCAAGTTAACTGATTGTATGCATTTGAACATGCTGTTGACGTGGCACTAGAACTCACGGTTTATCATTTGCTTTGCAGGCTGAATATTTCCGTCAGTTGCTTAAACCTGTTACGTAGTCTACCATAGTAAAAACCTTGGGACATCAGGACTCGCTGCCCTGTGGTTGTGTTCATATATAAGAAGCAGTTACAACTGATGAAGCATTAGTTTGATAATTTTAATTTGCAATATACACTTTGTTGTTGTAATTTAATGGAAGCACCTTAGGAGCTAGGTGTATTCTAAGTCTTTTATTTGCATTAGAAACTTTCATCCAACTGAAATCTGAAAAATTGTTGTCTCAAAAGCCGCAGATTTATCTTTCGGTGAACTATTTATTCAGCAGGACTACTCATGCAAAGTGACCCACAATTTTTCCCTCAAAAGCCAATGGCCCCCCTTGCGAATCAAGTGGGAGGTAATTACATCAATGGTACTACCTTTGCATCTGCCTTTGGGACAGTTTTACCTCCAGGTGTAGAACATAGGCCACTAAATGGTGTTGAATTTCAACCCTCCGAGTTCTGCCCGAAGAATTTTATTATCTTTGACCAGACTGATAATAGAAGTCAGATCATGTTCCACCCAGCAGTTGCCCCCAAATTCTGTTATCCTGGCTTAAATATCCATGCGTCTTACATCCAAGGTCTTGTTGAGAAGAAAGATGCTCATAATGAGGAGAGAGAAGTCTCATCTTCTCTGAATGAAGATTCTGATGACATTGATGCATTGTTGAGCTTTGAAGAGGAAGAACAGGAAGAATCAGATCAGGAAGAGGTCAGCACAGCTCGGACTCATGGAAACTATGGAAGTGAATCCCCTGATTCTTGCTCCAATTATGGTTCAAAACCCAGTAAGAGCAGGTTACCTTCTTTACAGAAGTCCTCTGGCAGTGGTAGTAGCTGTAATAGGGAAAGGAAGCGCAAGAAAATGATGAATATGGTGAAGACACTGAGAGGAATCATACCTGGTGGTGGCAACCGGATGAATACTGTTGCCGTTATTGATGAAGCTGTTAGGTACCTCAAGTCTCTCAAGGTAGAAATGAAGAAGCTGGGAGTCAAAAATTTGAAGAACGAAGCTGGATTCTCTGATGCGGTAAGCCGGTAACAAAGATTGAACTGTTCTTGCTATACTACTAGTACTGTTAATCATTTACTCTCTCTCTCATCAGGTTGGCTGAGAGTTTATGATCACTGGTGTTCTGTACGTGCGGTTCTTGGTCGAAATTACCATGATGCCTTTGTTGCTGGGAGCTGCTGAAGGGCGACTTTATACGACAACATATTTGTAACAGCATGTTCTCTGTTATGGGGGATGTGGTTTGTAATGTGCATACTCTATTCTAGTTGCTGGTGTTCTGTCTACTTTCTTTACTAGCTTTTTCCCACTACTACTTTAAATGCTACAATAATAGTTGCTTTTATTGCTTTCATATATTTATTTTTATTAGCTGTCTTCCTCATCCCTATATTAGCAGGACTTGTGATTTCATTTATTGCTTGCATGTTTTAATAGTCTAATAGCTATTGTATGCATAGAATTTTGGACATGGAAATTGTGGTTGTGCATGCATAATGCTGTCACCCTTACCCCTTATCCACTGTGGCCCCAGTAGTTAGTGGTGCTTGTGGTATATTACCGGGGCTGCTAGGCCCCTGTACAGGTCCACAGCCGGCTACTTTACAAGCCATTGTTCAACAGCTTGGGGCTACTATGACTCTAGATTTTAGGTTTTACTCTCATTTGTCAACAATACAATTCAATGAGGTGTATATTTTCTATTGTTTATCTGATTTGCTAGGTTTATGGAGGTAGAATATTTTTTTTTTTTTGGGACTACTACCCCTATGTTCTAGGCGACTTCTAGCCCTCCCTTCTATCTTCTTGCTCATATATGCCTTTAACCACCTTCAGCATCTTGCTGGTGTCCCACCTTGATTGGATAGTAGAGGAAATACCACTGGGAGTGATGTCAACGTAGTTGTTAGACGAGTTTGAATAGTAGAGGAAATCCAGCTGGGAGTGATGTAAACGTAGTTGGGTGATGTAAACGGAGTTGTTAGACGAGTTTGAATAAGCTGTATGCTTCATGGTCACATGTTTACATCCACTATGACCATGCATGCATATGCATAGAGAGAGAGAACTGGTGCAATACGAGATTATTCCTTATTTTATTAATTTGTTTATTTTTTGCGGAAATCCTCTCGACACGGTCACACAAGTGATACACATTCTTGATCCTGCCATTTATGCAGGAAGAGAGAGAGAGAACTGGTGCAATAAAAGATTATTCCTTATTTTATTAATTTGTTTATTTCTTGAGGAAATCCTCTTGACACAGTCACACAAGTGATGCACATTCTTGATCCCGCCATTTATGCATGAAACGCTCTTTAAGTAGCCACTAAAGGTCATGATTAATGTACGGTTACGGCCACATGTTTGTGCTTTTACATGCATTTATTAATGTCCAGTTACAGTCTTGCACTTTACTGAGCATATTTTGTTTCTTCTACCTAAAACAAACAATTGTAAGATTGCGTACGTTCCCTGTCTATGAGCTCTCTGCTGAAGCCTGAAGGCACAATTTCCAAATGACTTAGAAATTAGTTTCCTCCGCAATTTCAACTTCCAAACGGAGATGAACCTCAGCCGAAATCAAAGTTTGTGGCAAGCTCATTGCTGCGATCAAAGTGTGACTGACGGTTGCTGCGAAAATGAAATAAAAACCCTTGTTGAAATTGAAGTTCAACTGGTATCAATGTGATGTTGTGAAAGCAAAGTTGAAATCGAAGTTCAACTGGCACGCAATGGTGGTTGCGAATTGCGATGACCAAAATCAAACAACGAATGCATTTGAGTGACCTATGTATGTGTTTGTAAGCTTGTTTGTGTTTGTAAGCTTGAGAAGAATAAGTTATGTTTGTGTTTGTTAGCTTGAGAAGAATAAGTCGTGAAAATAGGGGAGAGATAACATGCAAGGTAGGGTCCGTGGGACCATAAGATTGTGTTTAGACAGGTTGGGAAGTGGTGATAACTAAGACAATAAATATCTTTTTTAGAAAACTGGACTTATAATTTTTTAAAATAAATATATATATATATTTTTTGGTAATAAAGAGAGTATTATTTTTCACTGATTAACTCATTTAAATTATTATTATTATTTTTTATTTTTTTATTTTTTCAAAGTTCTCTTCTTTATTTTTTTAATAAAAAATTTACAAATGAATGCATATTTATGTCTTTTAAGAGATAACTTAAGTACTGCATAATTGTGACCTTGCATATGAACTAGTCAAGTTTACTCTCTCTTGCAACATCTGCCAAGAACAAAACATGTGAAAGCATGTAAACAATTTAAATTATTATTATTATTTTTTAAATTAACTCGGCCAGATCTCTTGAGCTCCTCAGCCGCCTTCTTGAACTCCGCATTAGTTTTCTACAAATAAAAAAAAAATGCAAATAATAGAAGATGCACGTTCCCATCCATTTGAGCCAGCCCCTTGGGGTTATATACCACAAATTAGTTAACAGATTAGAAAAGTAATCTCCGGGCCATTCACCAACTCTTTCAGCTTCTGCGCCATTTCTTTGTACATAACTTTTTGTGCAGTTAATATCTGATTTTCTTCTGCTAACTGTTGAAGAAACAAGAAAAAATAATGACTTAATTTTATGTCCTACTGTTATGACAACAGATTTTTTATTTTGAAAAAAAAAAAAAAAAAAAATAGCAATCCATTCTCCATCTTAAGTTTGTTATATTTTTCTTCGAATCGCCCTATCTCAGCATGATCAGCATCCACTTCTCCCTGTGCCTGTCGCCCCAGGCCACTACTTCCTGTTCCTGCCATCCTCCCTGTTTCGATATGGGGCTTAACTGAAACTCAAATGTAGTTACAGACATTACAATGAAACATAGCAAAAGTAAAATAAAGGTCTCAATTAACCAAACACGCCATGTTTTTCAAAGTTCTCTCTTCCAAAGCAGTTTTTCAAAGAACTCCCAAACAAAATTACTGTTCTCAAACAAAGCATCTTTTTCGATATAAACTCCCAAGAACTCTTAAGCTCCATTTTCAAAGCATTTCCATTATAATTTTACATATAAACACATGTAAAATATATCCATTTATAAACGTATAAATCCACACAAGCATTATTAAAAGATATATCATACTGAATATCGTGCTATAGTGCACAATTCGTACTAGCAGTGTACAATATATCCCATGAAAATTAAAAAACAAACAGACCCCCAACAAAATGTGTCCAGCTATTTGTCACAAGCATGTTCTAGAAGCTTGCCTCCTAGTTCACAACACCAAGGAAGAGCAAAGTAGAAAAAGCGTACAACTTACAAAGAAACAGCTGCAAGTGACAATTGTTATAAACAAGTGCCATTAACAACTATCAGGTGTCATAGGACACCCAAGCAGGATTTACTGACTGGAAAATGAAAATTAAGCAACAATGCCATATATCCACCGACCCCCAGTAGAAGAGGGGGGTGAGTCGAACATTAGTCCAATACGGAGGCTAACTGCTCACATGGAGAGAAGTGGAAATAAATGCTCTTCATTAGAATAAGAAAATGCAAACACAGTCCACCTACAAGTACCGGAAATTAACGTTACTTCAGTTCTGATAGAAAAGAACAAATCGTTCAGTCCTGCACTTTACTGAGCATATTTTGTTTTCAATAAGCTTATTCTAAAACGATGGTTCTCAGAAAGCAACAAATGTAAAACACAGTTTTAACTCATTTGCTGCAAACAGAATTTTCATTGTTTCTAGCTTTTGAATCTAAATTCAGGTGGGGGGAAAAAAAACTAAATTCAGGTTTTGGATGATTTTTAAACTGCATATATATATATATTTTTTTCAATTCTTCCCCATTAAGGAAATACTTTTTCTCATTCGAAACAAGAAGTTGGCTTTAATAAACAAGTGAGAAAAGTCTATTATATCTTATTAGTAAAAGGTTGCTAAACAAATAAAAATTTCAGTTATTCCCTCATAAGGAAATATTTTTTCTTACTCAAATCCAGCCTATAGTTGAATAGCCCTCAAGACAGATTTTGGATTCACTAGAAAGCCTTTGTGAAACTCAAACATGGATCTATTTGTAAAGCATTCAAATACGTATAAAGAATCTCCAACAACATTGAAGAAGAATTCAATGAGTCAAACCATAACTACATGTAGATACATCAGTAATATATTCACGAATTCTTCATAATGCCCAACCATGCATTTGTAAAACCACCAATAGCTAAGAAAGAGAATTTAGGGAGAGAATATAATAATGCACCAAATATTAGAAAGATCAAATTGAGCTCAACTTGATAATTAAAGAAATGCAAACAATAATGTGAGCAATCAGAAGAAGCTGAAGCAGCTTTTAACAATATTTAGTGCATAATATAAACATCAATTAGAAACCACCACTTCCATATTGCAGAACATTAAATTCCATTTTTTTTTTTTAACATTGGCAAGAAACACAACTCAGACACACTCTTTGCCCACACCCGGGCTTGAACCCCTCCCCTCCTCTTCAAGGATGGGGAGGTTATACCATCAGGCTAGATGCCCTTTGGTATTAAATTCAAAATCTTACTAAATTACATTTGAACTAGGTTTCCAAGTGCTTTTTTAAATAAATTTTGTTGTTACCTGAAATGTCATTTGGAGAATTTACAAGTTACTTGTAAACTTCACTTAGCACCAACTTGACAGCACAATCCCACTGTAAATAGATTGTCCAGCGCTATGAAAATCATTTGTTTTATAACTATAAAAAATAGGACCTAAATAATGCTTTCAGGGTGCTTATATACTTTGTGATACTTTATGCCACAGTAAATCTTTTGTGTGCCCACAAAACTAAATCTATAATCTCTCTTTTTTTTTTTTTCATTTTTTTTTTTTCCGGAAGTTAAAACTATAATCTCTTTTGCCTCCAAGTAATACTTAAGTCTCTCACTACACAGCTAATCAGGTTAAGTAGAGGAAGGAAAACACAATATAGGTGGTTAGTGGTCTAAATGTTCTTTACTCAGTTATTTCACACTGAAAAGGAAAATTTATCCTTTTTCTTTTCTGAATGTATAGGTTATAAGTTATTGTACTTACCGAAACTATACATATAGGTCATTGTAAAATTAGGTAGGATGAGAAGAGAATGAAAGTCGGGTGTCTAGACGCATTAGGATCGGGTGTCGTCATGTGGAAGGCACCATTGCCATTCCGCAATTTAGAGCAGTAGTACAATAGTCCCCAACTACAAGTGTGGGCAGACCAGAATATTATGCTTTAACCCCTAAATTCTGCCACCTCTGCCAGGTCGGTTTTGGTGAAAAAATTTAAAGACCACGAACAAACAGATTATATGCTGACAACATCCCTGTGGATTAAATTTTACTTATTATATAAAGAAATATGCATACATATATATATATAGAGAGAGAGAGAGTATTTATGCTGTTCATGAAGTTTATAGTTATGCAACATATCCTGCACATTAAGGAACCTTGCTACCTTATGAATCAGAAAAAATTATGCCAAGACAGACATGAAGACATCATATGCACGCCAGTCATTATTATCCCTACACAAATGATAGAGTTCAACAAAACAATTTTTACTAACAAGGGATTCGAACAGATCTTATTTCCCTGGGATACTCAAATGTAACCTAGGCCTATAAGTCCATTATTAGCTTAAATTTCTATAGACCAGTCCAATGGCACTGCTGTGTCTTTCACCACATTTGGGAAAGCTAATTTTGTCACCATCATAACTAATACAACTACAATTGAACAAACCAGAGTGCCAACATGATGGAAACAAAACAGCCAACAATAAATCTCAGGATGAAAGCAAATTCAGAGATCTTCATAGATGACAAGACACCAAACAAATTCATACATATAAAATGAAAAATCAATGGAAACAATATATAGATCAGCCAAACCCAACAACTTTCAGGAATAATAACATAATGCCAGAAATAATACCTTCGGATGATGAAAACTTTACACCTACGGTCAAATCTTCAGTAAAACGCAAATCTGAAACAATAATACTGCAATTAAAACCCCTAAGATTTTTAGATATTTTCAGAACTATTTAAAAAACAGAAAACAAAAAACAGGAACATGTCCAAGACCATTCATGCAAACACTGTGCCCCGCAGAACAAATAGGGAAAAATGAACAATTTACTACCCCACACGAATTGGGGGAGAAAAAATGAACTCAAGGACTGCTTTCATATGACACAGAATTTTGCATTTTTTAGTTGATGAATCATGACACTTGGGGAGTACTAATCAGCCAAGTCATCCAATGCCAGATATACCATAAACCTTAAATATAAAGTATATACAAACATATATATATATATAAGAATGACAATAATCACTAGGGCATACTTGGGCATTTACAACCACAATATAGAGTGAGGGAAGAAGCAGCATCATGTTTTAGCATGATCCATTCGTTTGAGCGAAAAATATTTTATGTGTTTTCTCGTGTTTGGTTGTCGTGAAATATTTATGAAAAATAAAATAAAATTAAGACCTAACAAGAACAACTTATTCATCAATTTTCGACAACCTATTTTACACGCCCCACCCGATGGACTCGACCTCAACCTCGACTTTTGCCGAACACGGAAAAGTAAAAATAAAAGAAAATATATTACCTAAAAAAGGAAAATATTTTCTAAAACCATATTTTATGTCTGAAACAAACTGGAAGATAAATAGAGAAACTGGTTAATGAAACAAAATATAAGGTTCTCCAGAATGAACAGATGAAATAATGAAATATTGGAAGTCCCAACTGCCCACAAAGGGTAAGAAAATCTAAAATAAGAATAAAGTAGTACAAATTAAACACTTCCTCACAAACTTCTCCTAGAAAAATACCTTCTCAAATTACTGAACACAATGAATAATTCTTTCAGGGTGCTTATATACTTTGTGATACTTTATGCCACAGTAAATCTTTTGTGTGCCCACAAAACTAAATCTATAATCTCTCTTTTTTTCTTTTTCATTTTTTTTTTTTCCGGAAGTTAAAACTATAATCTCTTTTGCCTCCAAGTAATACTTAAGTCTCTCACTACACAGCTAATCAGGTTAAGTAGAGGAAGGAAAACACAATATAGGTGGTTAGTGGTCTAAATGTTCTTTACTCAGTTATTTCACACTGAAAAGGAAAATTTATCCTTTTTCTTTTCTGAATGTATAGGTTATAAGTTATTGTACTTACCGAAACTATACATATAGGTCATTGTAAAATTAGGTAGGATGAGAAGAGAATGAAAGTCGGGTGTCTAGACGCATAAGGATCGGGTGTCGTCATGTGGAAGGCACCATTGCCATTCCGCAATTTAGAGCAGTAGTACAATAGTCCCCAACTACAAGTGTGGGCAGACCAGAATATTATGCTTTAACCCCTAAATTCTGCCACCTCTGCCAGGTCGGTTTTGGTGAAAAAATTTAAAGACCACGAACAAACAGATTATATGCTGACAACATCCCTGTGGATTAAATTTTACTTATTATATAAAGAAATATGCATACATATATATATATATAGAAAGAGTATTTATGCTGTTCATGAAGTTTATATTTATGCAACATACCCTGCACATTAAGGAACCTTGCTACCTTATTATGAATCAGAAAAAATTATACGGAGACAGACATGAAGACATCATATGCACGCCAGTCATTATTATCCCTACACAAATTATAGAGTTCAACAAAACAATTTTTACTAACTAGGGATTCGAACAGATCGTATTTCCCTGGGATACTCAAATGTAACCTAGTCCTATAAGTGCATTATTAGCTTAAATTTCTATAGGCCAGTCCAATGGCACTGCTCTGTCTTTCCCCACATTTGGGAAAGCTAATTTTGTCACCATCATAACTAATACAACTACAATTGAACAAACCAGAGTGCCAAGATGATGGAAACAAGACAGCCAACAAGAAATCTCAGGACAAAAGCAAATTCAGAGATCTTCATAGATAACAAGACACCAAACAAATCCATACATATAAAATGAAAAATCAATGGAAACAATATATAGATCAGCCAAACCAGAAATAATACCTTCGGATGATGAAAACTTTACGCCTACGGTCAAATCTTCAGTAAAACGCAAATCTGAAACAATAGTACTGAAATTAAAACCCCTAAGATTCTTAGATATTTTCAGAACTATTTAAAAAACAGAAAACAAAAAACAGGAACATGTCCAAGACCATTCATGCAAACACTGTGCCCCGCAGAACAAATAGGGAAAAATGAACAATTTACTACCCCACACGAATTGGGGGAGAAAAAATGAACTCAAGGACTGCTTTCATATGACACAGAATTTTGCATTTTTTAGTTGATGAATCATGACACTTGGGGAGTACTAATCAGCCAAGTCATCCAATGCCAGATATACCATAAACCTTAAATATAAAGTATATACAAACATATATATATATATAAGAATGACAATAATCACTAGGGCATACTTGGGCATTTACAACCACAATATAGAGTGAGGGAAGAAGCAGCATCATGTTTTAGCATGCTCCATTCGTTTGAGCGAAAAATATTTTATGTGTTTTCTCGTGTTTGGTTGTCGTAAAATATTTACGAAAAATTAAAAAAAAATTAAGACCTAACAAGAACAACTTATTCATCAATTTCCGACAACCTATTTTACACGCCCTACCCGATGGAGTCGACCTCAACCTCGACTTTTGCCGAACACGGAAAAGTAAAAATAAAAGAAAATATATTACCTAAAAAAGGAAAATATTTTCTAAAAACATATTTTATGTCTGAAACAAACTGGAAGATAAATAGAGAAACTGATTAATGAAACAAAATATAAGGTTCTCCAGAATGAACAGATGAAATAATGAAATATTGGAAGTCCCAACTGCCCACAAAGGGTAAGAAAATCTAAAATAAGAATAAAGTAGTACAAATTAAACACTTCCTCACAAACTTCTCCTAGAAAAATTCCTTCTCAAATTACTGAACCCAATGAATAATTCTTTCGGTTGCTTATATACTTTGTGATACTTTATGCCACAGTAAATCTTTTGTGTGCCCACAAAACTAAATCTATAATCTCTCTTTTTTTCTTTTTCATTTTTTTTTTTTTTTCCGGAAGTTAAAACTATAATCTCTTTTGCCTCCAAGTAATACTCAAGTCTCTCACTACACAGCTAATCAGGTTAAGTAGAGGAAGGAAAAACACAATATAGGTGGTTAGTGGTCTAAATGTTCTTTACTCAGTTATTTCACACTGAAAAGGAAAATTTATCCTTTTTCTTTTCTGAATGTATAGGTTATAAGTTATTGTACTTACCGAAACTATACATATAGGTCATTGTAAAATTAGGTAGGATGAGAAGAGAATGAAAGTCGGGTGTCTAGACGCATAAGGATCGGGTGTCGTCATGTGGAAGGCACCATTGCCATTCCGCAATTTAGAGCAGTAGTACAATAGTCCCCAACTACAAGTGTGGGCAGACCAGAATATTATGCTTTAACCCCTAAATTCTGCCACCTCTGCCAGGTCGGTTTTGGTGAAAAAATTTAAAGACCACGAACAAACAGATTATATGCTGACAACATCCCTGTGGATTAAATTTTACTTATTATATAAAGAAATATGCATACATATATATATATATATAGAAAGAGTATTTATGCTGTTCATGAAGTTTATATTTATGCAACATACCCTGCACATTAAGGAACCTTGCTACCTTATTATGAATCAGAAAAAATTATACGGAGACAGACATGAAGACATCATATGCACGCCAGTCATTATTATCCCTACACAAATTATAGAGTTCAACAAAACAATTTTTACTAACTAGGGATTCGAACAGATCGTATTTCCCTGGGATACTCAAATGTAACCTAGTCCTATAAGTGCATTATTAGCTTAAATTTCTATAGGCCAGTCCAATGGCACTGCTCTGTCTTTCCCCACATTTGGGAAAGCTAATTTTGTCACCATCATAACTAATACAACTACAATTGAACAAACCAGAGTGCCAAGATGATGGAAACAAGACAGCCAACAAGAAATCTCAGGACAAAAGCAAATTCAGAGATCTTCATAGATAACAAGACACCAAACAAATCCATACATATAAAATGAAAAATCAATGGAAACAATATATAGATCAGCCAAACCCAACAACTTTCAGGAATGACAACATAATGCCAGAAATAATACCTTCGGATGATGAAAACTTTACGCCTACGGTCAAATCTTCAGTAAAACGCAAATCTGAAACAATAGTACTGAAATTAAAACCCCTAAGATTCTTAGATATTTTCAGAACTATTTAAAAAACAGAAAACAAAAAACAGGAACATGTCCAAGACCATTCATGCAAACACTGTGCCCCGCAGAACAAATAGGGAAAAATGAACAATTTACTACCCCACACGAATTGGGGGAGAAAAAATGAACTCAAGGACTGCTTTCATATGACACAGAATTTTGCATTTTTTAGTTGATGAATCATGACACTTGGGGAGTACTAATCAGCCAAGTCATCCAATGCCAGATATACCATAAACCTTAAATATAAAGTATATACAAACATATATATATATATAAGAATGACAATAATCACTAGGGCATACTTGGGCATTTACAACCATAATATAGAGTGAGGGAAGAAGCAGCATCATGTTTTAGCATGCTCCATTCGTTTGAGCGAAAAATATTTTATGTGTTTTCTCGTGTTTGGTTGTCGTAAAATATTTACGAAAAATTAAAAAAAAAATTAAGACCTAACAAGAACAACTTATTCATCAATTTCCGACAACTTATTTTACATGCCCTACCCGATGGAGTCGACCTCAACCTCGACTTTTGCCGAACACGGAAAAGTAAAAATAAAAGAAAATATTTTTCCAAAAAAAGGAAAATATTTTCTAGAAACATATTTTATGTCTGAAACAAACTGGAAGATAAATAGAGAAACAGATTAATGAAACAAAATATAAGGTTCTCCAGAATGAACAGACGAAATAATGAATTATTGGAAATCCCAACTGCCCACAAAGGGTAAGAAAATCTAAAATAAGAATAAAGCAGTACAAATTAAACACTTCCTCACAAACTTCTCCTAGAAAAATTCCTTCTCAAATTACTGAACACAACGAAGAAAAGAACAACAAAATTCAATGCAACAGAACCAAAATCGAATTAGTATGAACACTACCCAAAACACCAGATTAAGAAACAAAACACACACACACCCTCTCTCTATATACCATAAAATCAAACAAAACCGCAAACATTATTAACTTGTAGACTTTGTAGTAGATTTACAAAAGCCCTCGAACAAACATTAAACTAAATGCAAACAGAACCCAAATCAAACCAATATGAAGTATGAACACTACCATAAGGAAACAAAACACACACTCTCTTTCTCTCTCTAGATACCATCAAATTAAACAATACCACAAACATTTCTTGATTTGACAGTAGATTTATAAAACCCTCGACCAAACAGTCATAAAAAATTTAAAAATTGTTAGGGTTTAGTTAAATAGCATAAATCAAGAAGAAATAGAGAAGAAAGCGAGACAAACAGTAGTTAGAGTGTACCTTGGACGATTCTTTCTTGTTGGCAGTGGAGAGTTTGTGAGGGAGGAGTGATTAGGAGTAATATTAGGCGCCTTTATTGCCTTTAATTCCTTCAGCTTTAAAGGATAGAGGTAGTGTTGCCATTAATGACGTACGTAGCCAAATCTCAGCTACCTCGTTCTCCAAATATCAACGATGTTGACAACTACCCTCTCACCCACTCTCTCTCTAATCATCTGATTAATTAGTAGGTTTACATTGAAAATTTGAGTAATTTGTTTGCTTCTTAGAGACCATTTATATTATTACTTTTGGGAAAAAAGAGAGTAAAACTATTATCAAATATAATACTAAAACTATGTCAAAGGGCATTTTTTGTAAGATTAATAATATACTGCAAGTGTTTTAAATAAGCGTGAAAAGTACTTGCTTTAAAAGTTCAACCTCTCATTTGAAAAACATAGGAGATTTTTATTTTCTTATGTTTTGGTTTTGGTGATAAAAGGTGGCCTATTATGTGTTACATTTGGAACTGACTGTTGGAAAAATATATGCTTCATGTGACATTTAAGATATAACAAATCTTATACTAATATGTCATTAGATAATTAACAATATGCTAAGAAATCATTAATTAAATATGCAACTCTATATTTAATTAAATATGCAAAATAAATTAATAAAATCATAATAATCAATAAAGAACCTGGACCGAGGCTAGTATTGAATACTATGTCCTTAAGACAGATTCGCCCCGCTATGGTGCTAACGGACTCAGTGGCGTCTATCTCCCAGGATACAACGGTTTACATCCACCAGTAGCAGCACTACAAACTCGTGGATACGGCGAACCTTCTCCGTGTAATACTCTCTCTAACTCAAAAATGCATCTATGCTATATAAATGCTGAATTGGGTGCAATTCGAATCAAATGGTTCGGACCAATCTTAATATGGCTCGATGAAATTGGATTAGGGTCTAAGTGATTCGGACCACTTAACCTATGGTTTGAACCCACTTGGGTTGGGTTCAAGTCTAGAGAGGGAGATAGAAGAAAATGAAAAATGAACTCATTGCAAATGATCCAAAGGGGGGTATTTATAGAAACAGATATGCCTTTTCGGATTGGGTGTATCTCTTCATTATTGGACACAACCATTGCATTAGGTTGCAATGGTTCACATGGTGTCTGTTCACGACTAGACACATCTATTCCAATAGGTTGCAATGGTTCACATGATGTCTGTTCACCAATAGACACATCCATTCCAATAGGTTGCAATGTGCCTTTTCGAGTGGGTGCAACCATGGGTCATGATGGTTCGGAAAAAGGTGTAACCCTTTGAAAAAACTAAAAAGTGATTTTTTAATTTAAAAGGTGTAACCCTTTAGAAAAACTAAAATATGGTTTTTTAATTTAAAAGGTGTAACCTTTTAGAAAAACTAAAAGGTAGTTTTTTTAATTCAAAAAATCAACCACCCAAAAAACCCACTCATTTGTGAAACCCATTTAAATAAGCCCAGCCCAAAATTAGGTCCAATCCAAAATTCCAAAAAGAATAATTTGGACTTTACAATTAGGCCCAAGCCCAAGCCCAAGCCCAAATCCTAAACTCAGCTTATTTAAATTTCAATTTGTTTTAACATTTTTTCCATGCGGGACAAACACTTCCCACATTTTGCATACCCATTTAGGCTTATCAAAACACCACACTTTGGAGCTAATTTCTCATTCATCCAGAAACGGATTTCAGAAAATAAATATACCACATTCATCTCCTTGCGGAGAGAAACGCGTTTGTCTAGAGATCCGTAAAAAATTATTAGCGGAATCTATTTCAAATCTCATCCAAAGTTTATGTTTTTAATGCCCCCGTTTCCAACAATCCCCCACATGAATGGAAATTTGCGTAAAATGCAAAAGATGATCATGCAGACACTAGAGAGAGTATAATCGGAAAGATACTGCATCAGGATAGGTAGCTTTTGGCTTTGAACCTTCCCTAGTGTATTGCTATCGGATTTACTAGCTAACCAGTGAACGCGATGTCTTGAACTGTTCAGCCGTTTGTGTAAACCAAGACAATAATAAACACACAGTAGCTTTCCTCACAAAGTTAGTTCTCATTGTTGTGTTCGCTTTGGCCCTGAACAAGTCCTGGTATTCAATGAGTGCTCCAGAAAACTTAGCCTTTATAGTTCTCATAGAAGCGGCCCCACTTCACACTCATATAGGTGACTTCTTATTAAGATTATCCTACCATACCCTACTTGAAATTTCAAGGTATAAGAGTCATTAAAAGCATAGCTTATCCTAATCATCGCTGTAGGTAGCACTGTCTCATCATAGAAATGGGTAGAAGATTTATATCTTCCCAGTGCTTCTGGTGAGTCACTCAGAATTTCTGTTGTCCCTTTGAACCTAGATCTTGGGATCTCCAGTCAATTAGGTTGGGTTTCCATTAAGGTGACTCGTTAGCTTTCGGCTTTAAACCCCATTCCCCTCGATGAACTGTACAATTGCTCTCTAGTACAACCTTCAATTTTATATGTGGCCACAAGGTTGTGTTTAGAAATATTACACTCTGCAGAGATTTCTCCAGGTGAGAGCAACTGTATACTTTGTGCCCTAAAATTGCTTATTGTTAGCAATATCATTTTCTTTAGTGGCACAGGTGTAGACTTACTTTGAATTGTCCTCTAGGTGAAGTCTATTGACTTCTCTATTTGATTTATTCAAAGTTTCTTACTTTGAGTTATATTAAGAACATAGAACTACACCTTTAATATAAAAGACATATCCACTATTGGATTTGAAGTCTTTAATATCCCATATCCAGATTGTATCACTGTTACACCTTCAATTTAGTTAGATACCTCGATCTATGCAATATTGGATTTAGGGTGTATCTCAACTACCCAATTTATTGTTTTTTAGTGATCCGATCCTGGATTGAAAATGTGCAATTAAACACAGTTATTAAGTTGCCTTGCAATCTTAACCAATGATATACTTTGGCTAGTATATATATTTAAGATTTACATCTACAAAAGTTAGCTAGGCTTTTGTTATCATAACTAGTATTATCTCAATCTCACTCTATTGAGAATATACTATATTATCAGATGTTAAATCTTTCATATCAAATATACTAATCAGTATATCATTTATATTTTAAGGCATACAATGACTTACGCATCACATTTATGTCATTGTCTCGGTAGTAGCTTTAATCCATTCAAGGACTTATAAGTTTGCACACTTGACTTTTCAACTGGAACAAATAACTCAGCACTTCAACTGAAAAAAGAACTCTTCCAGTTATTCCATAATATTTTCCTCGTAGGAAATAATATGCACTATTGTTATAATAATATAAATGATTTTTGGTTCTATCCTAAAGCTTTTAGGACTTGGAACCCCCCACATTTATAAGTATTTCTGTTAAGATGAGTGACTCGTAACAAATTTCATCTATGGATAATATCTCCCCACAACTTTGGGATAATCCTGAAATTTTATCTCTAATGTATTTATTATGATTTTTCAACTATGAAAGTACCATATATTAAATACTTCACCTCATCTACCTTTTCAAGGTTCCATATTCGCTTCTCAACAAGCATATATAATAGTCTCTAGTGCATATGCACTCACTTTATCTTTAGCATATTCTTATAATAATTCACCGACATTACCGTGAATTAATGCTAAAGATATTAATTACAATGGGCTCTAATTAATATTTGATTTTACTTCTTTTATATTTATAAATTAAGTTATTCATGTTTAGGTTCATGTTAAGTCAGTCATATTAACATGTTATAACCTTTCATGTATCACACATCACATAACTCAATCATTTAAGCAAATAATTATCTTATTATTTAAGCTTTGGATACAATCACTACAGAGTGAGCACTCACTTCTCAGCTATCATTACTAGCTTAGATTAAGTACACTCTTCTCATATCTCACTACTAGTTATAATGAGCACCCACTTTTTAGCTATTACCTCTAGCTTGAAGTTAAGTTTGTTTAGCTATCAATTCTAGTAATTCATAGTTTTAGTACACACTTATCTAAGTAGTCTACCTTGGTAGTAGAGTAATTTGTTTTGAAGAATATTCTTCAAAAACTACTACTTTACAAGTAGTATTATTCCCTCCTATATGAGCAGATATGATGAATAGCTCAAATAGCTTATGGCTAAAATAACTACTCATCACCCTCGTGTTTTTTTTTTTACTACCAAGTTGAGAGCTAGAACCAACTAACAGATTTTTCATCTTCCTCTTAGGTTCTGTGCACCTCATTAATCATTTTAGCTTATAGCTAAGCTACCTTGTTTGCAACTCAGTAATATTTTAGCTTTTAGCTAAATTGTACATTAGAGCTAACTAGTTTGATTTAGCTTGTCTCAGTGTACTAGCTTAGTGTATCTATAACATTTTCCATTAAACTCTTTAGAGTTATCGGAAAATCTTTTCTTATTTATCCCATTCACAGTTATACGTGTCTTAGACACTAGTATAGATCTTTCTCCCTTGACTATTGGAAGAATTGACATACTTAGACTAATCAATTTTTGTCTGTTGTATTAAATACACAAACCAGTCATGAATTCATACAAAATTAATAATATCACACATTAAATAAATTATGTTGTAAATTTGAATTACAATACACATTAAGTAATTCAACTACATAGTTCAATATTATAGTATCAAATGAAAGTAAACATTTATAAAAATAATATTAAACTTGCATAACAATATAGTTTCATATTATATCACATGATTAATTATATCACATAATTAATATAAGAAATAATAATAATCAAGAGAAGAATTTGCTTCCTTAAAGCTTTGTGGCTTGTTCTCCAATAAACATGTTAGAAAATCAGGAATAAAAGATTTAGACGTTCTAGCCTTTTTACTACCTCTAAGCTCATCTTTATTTTCATTGTATGATTTATGCACAAGGAAATGATATGCAATACTGTTATGAGCATAACCTATCAAAGATTTTATGTGTGGGGACTATGCACTTGTAGCTCGCCTAATGTGGTAGCCCGTTAGTGCCTCTTGCACCCGTCCACGACAGACTCACCTATAAAGTTGTCACATTTTAGGACCACTTTAACCTTTCATACGAGTAGGATCTGCAACCTTAAATAGACACCCCCACACTTTTAAGAATTTATAGAAAGGTTTTCAACCTTTCCGTAATTCATATGATGTCACATTTCTAAAGTTTCATCTTTGTTTCGTGGCAAATACACATAACGGTATCTTGTGCAACCAATGATAAAAGCAACGAAGTACTTTTTTCCACCTCTAGTTGGTACATGTTTAAGGTAATGTCATATACTTCATAATATCATATTACAAAATTAAATAATTCAACCAATATTGAATAATTCAATAATCTACTTATATAACATGCTTCAATTTCACATAATATTGAATGCATTAATATTTAACATATTATCATATAATAATGTATATAACATTATTTTATCATATCTCAACTATTAGTATAATATCTACTTGTTTATATCTTAAATAGAAACATATAATAAAATCTACGCAAGGAAGGAATCTGTCTTAAGATTGTTGGAAAAATATATGCTTCATGTGACATTTAAGATATAACAAATCTTATACTAATATGTCATTAGATAATTAACAATATGCTAAGAAATCATTAATTAAATATGCAACTCTATATTTAATTAAATATGCAAAATAAATTAATAAAATCATAATAATCAATAAAGAACCTGGACCGAGGCTAGTATTGAATACTATGTCCTTAAGACAGATTCGCCCCGCTATGGTGCTAACGGACTCAGTGGCGTCTATCTCCCAGGATACAACGGTCTACATCCACCAGTAGCAGCACTACAAACTCGTGGATACGGCGAACCTTCTCCGTGTAATACTCTCTCTAACTCAAAAATGCATCTATGCTATATAAATGCTGAATTGGGTGCAATTCGAATCAAATGGTTCGGACCAATCTTAATATGGCTCGATGAAATTGGATTAGGGTCTAAGTGATTCGGACCACTTAACCTATGGTTTGAACCCACTTGGGTTGGGTTCAAGTCTAGAGAGGGAGATAGAAGAAAATGAAAAATGAACTCATTGCAAATGATCCAAAGGGGGGTATTTATAGAAACAGATATGCCTTTTCGGATTGGGTGTATCTCTTCATTATTGGACACAACCATTGCATTAGGTTGCAATGGTTCACATGGTGTCTGTTCACGACTAGACACATCTATTCCAATAGGTTGCAATGGTTCACATGATGTCTGTTCACCAATAGACACATCCATTCCAATAGGTTGCAATGTGCCTTTTCGAGTGGGTGCAACCATGGGTCATGATGGTTCGGAAAAAGGTGTAACCCTTTGAAAAAACTAAAAAGTGATTTTTTAATTTAAAAGGTGTAACCCTTTAGAAAAACTAAAATATGGTTTTTTAATTTAAAAGGTGTAACCTTTTAGAAAAACTAAAAGGTAGTTTTTTTAATTCAAAAAATCAACCACCCAAAAAACCCACTCATTTGTGAAACCCATTTAAATAAGCCCAGCCCAAAATTAGGTCCAATCCAAAATTCCAAAAAGAATAATCTGGACTTTACAATTAGGCCCAAGCCCAAGCCCAAGCCCAAATCCTAAACTCAGCTTATTTAAATTTCAATTTGTTTTAACATTTTTTCCATGCGGGACAAACACTTCCCACATTTTGCATACCCATTTAGGCTTATCAAAACACCACACTTTGGAACTAATTTCTCATTCATCCAGAAACGGATTTCAGAAAATAAATATACCACATTCATCTCCTTGCGGAGAGAAACGCGTTTGTCTAGAGATCCGTAAAAAATTATTAGCGGAATCTATTTCAAATCTCATCCAAAGTTTATGTTTTTAATGCCCCCGTTTCCAACACTGACTTGATCAGAATCCAAATTAAAGAAATTCAATATTTATCCAACCTGGTACATGACCAATAATTACACTTTAAATTAGTAGCAATGTAATAATCCCAGTATATATGCTTATATAGCTGATGTTAAATTAATTTTATGTCCCAACTAATCTTTAAATATCAAAAAGGGAAAAGAAATTTTTTTCAAGTACCCTGTAAAGCACCTCTCCATAAGAGTTAGGTAAAACTCAAATTTTCACCCGGGAACCATCATGGGTGTGACCCCCAAAAATTAGTTGGACTTGAAATAAATTTAGTTTTTCTGGGCAAAAAACACACACTATGCTTAAACATAATGTTGTGGTGAGGAAAAGAAATTTTTTCAAGTTCCCTGTAAAGCACCTCACCATAAGAGTTAGGTAAAACTCAAAACTTTCACCCGCGAACCGTCATGGGTGTGACCCCCAAAAATTAGTTGGACTTGAGATCAATGTAGTTTTTCTGGGCAAAAAACACACACTATGCTTAAACATAATGTTGTGGTGATGGTGACAATCACAAAAGGCAACAGCAAATCCTTGCTTTTGCAGTCAGCGTCCACAATTAAAAGTTGCAGCCTTTTAAAACTCTGGTCAGAATCAGATGTTACTCTCTTACTTAAATATTTATGAATCTGGTGATTCATAAAGCAGATGAAAATTGACGATCAAAAAGCAATAGTGAGTACATGTGTGTGTGTGTGTGTGTGTATATACTTTCTGAACTTCCAGCAGAATGTAAGAAAGCTAGAACTAATTACAAAGAAAATGAAATGGTGTCGAGTTACTCGAGTAATGAAAATTTACTAGGAATTTCGATTAAAAAAGACAAAGTTCTATTAACAGAAGAAGAGCACTTCCTCTACTGGTTATTCCAAGTCACTACTACTCTTTAAACCTACTCAGAAGTGAGAACACCCATACATATTGCAACTCATAACAGCTTCATGCACCTACTTAGAATACTGATATTTGCAATCACCATAGCCTGCAAAACAAAAGAAACATAATTTTATTAAGCCCAGGAATATATATATATATATATATATATATATATATATATATATACACAATCAAATATACATATATAAGCTTATGCATTAATTTGGTGATCTTGATTTGGTAAGAAATGGCTTACTTGGGTCGGTCACAACGATGACACCGGATTTCTTGAAGTCACAATTCCAGAAGTTTCTTCCAGCTTTTTGGTAGTAGAGGTTCATGGCAACTGAGGCATGGTTCAGTAGTGAAGCAGGGTTGTAACAGGGGCCATCATTTTGAATTGCACTGCAGTTCGCGACACCGCAGGCGTAGTTGATGTTTTCCAGCAGCTCCACGTCTGATGATGAGGGCTTGGCCATGCACCAAGATCCCTGCAACACCATGTCACAAATTTTCAATCAGTCCTGATCAAATTTATATAAATTTTTCGTGTGAAAAAATGTGGATGTTTGTGTTGAATTTTACCTGTCCAGGTGCTTGTCCATGTGCAAAACTCATGATTCCACCTAAAAAACACACACAACACACCCAATTCGTGAATATTGTGAAGGTTTCTTTTTTTTTTTTCCTAAATGATATTGTGAAGGTTTCATTTCAGATGCATTGTACAAGGCTTAGCAGAAATCAAATTTATATAGAATGAGACATGATTCATAAACTTTATGATTTGAAAAGCTATATATGCAATTGTCAACAACTCTGCTTGAAATTCTTGTGGACATTAGTTTGCATTCGAAATTCAGATCAAATGTTTGAAAAGTGGGATATCAAATTATCACAAAGTTGTTGAATTTGAAAAGAAAAACAGGGGAATTTCAATCCAAACAACATTCACACTAGAAACTATTTATTTATGGGGCTAACAAAATGATCTGAGTCTCAGTTTGGTTGATTAGAAAACATAGGAAAGGGTGGAAATGGGAGGGACAGAAAAAATAAGCTCTTGCCATTTTTGGGCTTGAGATTGTAGCAATTCTAGGTTTTTGAGCAAAGCCTATTCATGAGTTAATATCAAAGCAACAACATTCTGTTGTAGATGCAAAAACCCGACTCACAATTCAATAAAAGCCTTTCATATCAATGAAGAACATCAACAACTTCGAAATAAGAAAGTAAAAAAATGAAGAACATCAAATTTCAGGTAAAAACCATATGAGATTGAGTCAATAAAAAGAGAGGCCATACAGAGAACAAAAGGTGAGTGCCCAATTCAGCTAAAAAGTGATCAGAAAATCAACAAATTACATTGGAAAGAAAATTGAGATCGAAAATATTACCTGAGTTGATGACCAAAAACAGAAGAAAGAGAGAGAGAAGTGGAAGAGACAGAACAGACATGGCCATGGATGCAAATTATGTGATAACAGTGAAAGTCTCAATGATTTGTTGTGTGTAGAAGGTAGACTACAGGAAATTCAATTTATAGACTCACAATATTAACCATTTGTCCATAGTAAAAAGTTGACAATAATTTTGTTTTCGGAAGTTAAAAAGTTGACAATACATTGCCCAAGCATTAAAAGGGTTACCGTACCATAATGATATAAAATCAACTGTAGCGTTAATTTGCAAGTGAATAGTAATTGTTAATCACAATTGTCATGAACTTTCAACAGTAGGATGAGATGGATCATAGATTTTAAGTTAACGCTCCAAGTCATATGAATGGTCACTTTATACGGTATGGACAATTGGACCATTAGCACAGATTACATGCTTGGGTGATCAGGTGAGAGAATTTAAGGGGTGAACTATAAATTTGGCCTTCTTCTTACAAGGCACAAAAATATTCAGATTTAATGATAGGTGATTTACGGGTGATTATATATCATATATGAGGATTACCTTGCACCTATAAGTTGAAAGGGCCGGTGATTAGAATGATTCCTGTTTTTAAATAAATTAATTTAAAAAAAATTCAAAAGGAAAAATGATTAATTGATACTAATATAATGTAAAATAAATGAATGTTACAAAAAAAAAAAGTTCCAGTATTATTGTCATTATCATGTATAGAGTGTGGGAGTAATATATACTCAACGGCTACGGTAATGGAGGCCATTTGGCGGAGAATAAGGTATGATTTAGAGGATAACGCGTGATTTAAAACATGACATGTAGTTGTGATTTTTGTTCTGGTTTTGTGTGGTTGTCCTTCATTTCTTTTAGGGGGCAGAAGTTATAACGGATGATTTAAAGTGATTAGGTGTGGTCAGGACCACGGTGGTCTCGTATTGATAGAATTATGATTTGTTTGTCATCATGTCTAGCGTAAGATTTTGCAATCCGATTGGTCATTGTCTTTTTAAAGGTAAATTTACAATTTTTTGAGAGAATTAAGAATTTTTTTTTTTTTTTTTTTTTTTTTTTTTAACAATACAAGAAGTGCTAGAAGTTAGATTAGTAGATGCAGAGGTCGAAACCTGACATTTAAAAATTCACCGAAAGCACTAACCCACTAGATTATCAAGGCATCTGCAAAAATGAGTTGGAGTATAAATGGGCCCTTATTAACATTTTTCTTTCTTGATATGGAATTAGAAAGAAATTAAAGGAAATGATTTTTTTTTTTTAATTTTTATATTTCAAGAGTTGGACAGCACACAAAAAGAAATTATTATTTTTTATTTTATGTGAGAAAGTAATTTTTTATAACCACCTAGCCTTTTTCATATATTTGAGAGTAAATAATTTATTAAATCAAAGTTTGGGTTGAATTGGAATTGGCATGGCTGGGTTTTAATTTGTTATTAATTATATGACAAAGATGGTTTGAGCAAATGGTGTAATGTTGCTATCAAAGCTTGTGGGCTCAGGCCCAAAAAATGGTATGGTATCGATAGTAATGGCTTCTTTTTCTGTTTTTCTTTTTGGTAGATAATGACACCAACAGCGTACGTCGTCCTTTTTCTTAGTAGGCCATGAGTGTAATGCTACATACATTTGATTCACACTAATAGCACCACTATATTCAATGTTAGGAGTTCACTTGGTGGGAGAATTTCTGGTGTTAAGAAATGATGGAAAACGACAATTTCAATCATTATTATTATTATTATTATTCCATTAACACACTTACAATATTACTAATAACAAGACTCGAATATTCAACTTTTTGTTTCTTTTGTTCTTAAATTATTAAAATAATGTGATTAATTAAAGATAGGAAGTGAGTTGATCGCTATGAGAATGCACTTGAGAAAATGCAATTCCTGTCTCACATCTTGATATGTATCATGATACGTTAGAAAGGTGTAGGCTTGAATGGCGGGAAAAGTCAAAAGCTGACCAAAAAACCACCCCGTGATCAGTTTAGGTGATCATCTTTGGTGGGTACATGACATAGATGTGATCCTAGTCCTAGTTAGTATTTGGGTGTTGAATTTCTCTGCAGTTTCTTTTGGTCCAAAGCTGTACAAAATTAGTCTAGCTTTTTACAAACTTGAAAGCAAAGAAATATGAAATAAATTTTTTCTTTATATTAGCACACAATTCACAAATTTACACGAGTTCTTTTTATAGGAGATAATACACGCACAAAATTAGATGGCCTAATTAATAATTTCCTAATTTACAACATTTGACCAATATTCTATTTGCAGCAAATATCCTCCAAATATTATATTTACCGCTAATAATATTTGGTAGGATTACTATCGAATCTTTCCTTTTCAACACTCCCCCTCAAGGTGGTTTGAAGATATCCTCTATAGCTAGCTTGCCAATTAGTCTGTCAAACTGTCTTGTAGGAAGTCTATTTGTAAGCACATCTGCAACTTGCTCGGTAGTAAGAATGTACAGCATACAGATCAATTATTTTTCGAACTTTTCCTTGATGAAGTGTTTGTCTACCTCCACGTGCTTTGTTCTGTCATGAAGCACTGGATTGTGAGTGATCGAAATAGCAGCTTTATTGTCACAGTACAATTTCATAGGCAACGGATTAGAGACCTTTAATTCATCCAATAGTCTCTTAATCCATAACACCTCATAAATTCCATGAGCAACTGATCTAAACTCGGCCTCTGCGCTACTTCTTGCTACTACATTATGTTTTTTACTCCGCCGGTGACAAGGTTAACTCCAATAAAGGTGCAGTAGGCAGAAGTTGACCATCTATCAATAGCACTCCCAGCCCAATCCGCATCAGTATAGGCTTCAACTTGCAATGCCCATGGTTTTTTAACAGTAGACCTCTTCCAGGGGTCCCCTTTAGGTATCTAAGAATTCTGTAGACTGCATCAAAGTGTTCTTGTCCAGGTGAATGCATGAACTGGTTAACCATGCTGACTGCAAAAGCTATATATAGACGTGTATGTGACAAGTAGATCAGTCTTCCAACAAGTCTTTGATACTGCTCTCTAGTCATAACTTCTTCATCTTTAGAAGGCTACAGCTTAAGGTTGGGCTCAATGAGTGTCTCGGCTAGTTTACATCCTGTTGCCCAAAAAGGACTCTAGAGGGGGGGGGGGGGGGGTGAATAGAGTCCTTGTCCAACTATAACAAATTCAAAGATTTATAAAAGTAATCTTAAAATAACTACTTGAGTTAATATGTAATTGTATGTTGACAGAATCAAGTTAGACAAATCAGCAAACAAATATAAGCAGTAAAGTAAAGAGGAAAGATAGAGATATTGCAAACATAGACACAGCGATTTTAGCGAGGTTCGGAAACTCCTACTCCTCGGCTCAAGACCCCTCTTGAGACTTCCCAATCCAATATGGCCCCTCCTTGCAGGTGGAGAGCAAACCTTGAAAGAAACAGTTCTTTCCTTCTTCTGACTAAGAGACTCTCTCTAAGTCTTAGGCCAAACCAGCCCTTATAATGATTTGGCTAAGAGAATTTCTTCTCCTAGTCTTACAAAGAAATGAAGAAGAGTATTACAATGATCTCACTCTCACAGTTTGAAATTACAGTTCACACTCTCTAGAGAATCAAATGATACAAATGAAGCTCACTTTCTCTAAATGATGTATGTGTGAGAGAAGAAGAATCTGAAGTTTAGCTTTAAGGATCAATGAGTGAAGGATAGCCAAACTTTCTTTCTCACTTGTTGAAGAATGAGGCTCAGAGACTTGGATAAGTTTGGTTCTAAAAGGTTCCCACTTCTGTTTTGGATATCTATCATTTTCATGATGATAGTGAGGTAAAGTTTGAGTACTACTCTTGACAAAATGCTCAAACAAGGGCTTTCTTCTTTTTAGTAGACAAGCATCCTTGGAGTGAGGGTTGTATCCTAAGCCATTTTTGAAAAATGCACTTCGTTGATTTCCAAGCATTTTTTTCAAATTTTCTTTGCCTTGAGTGAATTTAGTAATGATGTTCAATTGGTCTTCAATTACTAAGTTTAGTGAATCATTTTCAGAAATGAGTTTACTGGTGTTCTTAAGAGAGATAGATTCAATTTCCTTTTTGAGAGAATCATTTTCTTTTATAGCCTTTTCAAGATTGTTTGAAAGAATATAGTTTTCTCTTTTGAAAGAAGCACATTTCAAAACCATTTTTCCTAGTTCTTTATTGTGATACCCCTCGGATCCGAGACACGGGTTAATCAGGCCCAGGCCCAAACCCAAGGGATATCAAATAATTAAAGTATTTTAAAGCGAACACATAACAGAAATTTAAGAATTTAAATAAAGAACCCAAAAGAAAAATAAAATCCTCCAACTGAAAATATTAATAATCCAATCCTTCCAAAACCTCCAAGGTTATAACTTGGGAATCCAACTAGTGGACCCCGAAATAAAACTTCAACTGAAATTGAATAACTGAAAGTAAAAATAATCCAAAACTAAAGCGTGAAGTGAAATCTTACGTTGCTGGTGGAATGAATGAGAGTCTCTACTTAGCACGATCAAGCTTGAGACTAGAACCGTCCAATAACTGAAAAGAATAATAAAGGAATGGGTCAGGCCCACGAGCAAGTTCTAATCTAACTGCAATCCATACAGTGAGCCAATACGCAGATACACCGTAGACACCTCACAATATCTATCTAGTCCATACATATAAATATATCCACACTAAGGGACTTTCACTGGTCTATAATAGGGGTCTCAACCTGAATAGAAGGCAACATGCGAATACGCACTCAAAGGTGGGCATGAGTACCTAGACCTAACAGGGTACACCTCAACCTATTATAACCAGCTACGCATCCACTGCACATACGCATCCTAACCAATGAGTCTGAGACTCAAGCTCAACTCGTGGTACCATAAACATATATATAAAGTCCGTCCAAAACCAGGGTATGTGGTTCAATTATTTATCGAACTGACATACAATAACAAATTAGTTAGTCACTCAACTTATTCAGTTGATATGAATCAACCATCATCCATTAATCTAGGAAGCCACTCAACTTAGTTACAGTTAATTTGACTTAAACATAATTAGGATTCAAT